CAGCCGTCACTAACAGACCACCGTCTACACGTCGCTTACATAGCTGCTTGGACTACTCGACATTTGAACAGGCCTTTATATAGTCAGCTCGCTGCTTTAATAATCTAAAAATGTTGATAAAGTCGTTATACCCATTCCATACCATCATTATTACAACGCCACCATTGCCATTGCATTGTTGTCTTCATTCACTTCTATTATTATTGTTAACACCATCATTATCATCATTTATTGTGATTAGAATAATTGTAATTATCCATATAATAATGGCAACAGTGGGTTTTTTAAAATTACAAAGCTCTGACATTTTTGGGAGTTTGGAGTCAGAAAGACCTTAAGGCCAGAAACCAATTCATATTTGATCCGCTCTACCAAAATCGTAAGACTGTTTGAGGTCGTTATCTAGATATTCAAAGAATCGCATTAAAAAAAGCTTGACAGGTCGCGAATTTCAATCTTTTAAACGTCAAATTTCCCAACACTAGATACTAAGCCGGTAGAGCTTTGCAATCCTAGGGTAACGAGCTGTCACTTGAAGCCCACTCTGTATATTACTTACATAGCTGCTCGAAGTGCGAAATTGGTATTTTAAGAGACCTTTATAATTATACCCAACCTTCACTGACACCACAATCTGCACGTCGCTTACATAGCTGCTCTGACTACTCCACATCGGAACAGGCCTCTGTACACCCAACCGTCACTAGCAGCAATGTAACCCCTTTTAAGACCCACAAAACCTTCACAGCCACTATAAAACGTACTTTAAGATAATTCAGCATACGTTACAGCTACCCTTCAGTATTTGCTAAACATTGTATTTGACCCCTGTTTGTTATCTCGACACTTGAACGACGGCACCGGCAGATGGCGGAAGTGTCTCGGGCGACAAAAGGCTGATGATGTTATAATATATAATGTACATAATATATACATATATACAAGGGAACTTGTCATGCTCTCAGATCAGTACAACACTGCTGAATGTGTTATATCATCTTCTATAGACGTGCTTTCTGTTGTTCTGTGGATTGTATTACGTTAGTTGGTGAGTTTTTCTCTGATTTAACAGCTCCAACGTAAAGAAATTCTTTGGCTTGCATTTTTGAACATTTAAAATTTCATGGCATCAACGGCGGCTTATTAAAAACAAGGAGAAGGCAAGATAATTAGATAGAAACCACAGTGGGAGCGAAAAGGTGGGACCTACCCGTGGCGCTCACAGTGCTGTGTGAATTGATCACCTGCATGACCCCGTTTTTTGTTTTTGTTTTTATTTTCTGACGTTTTTTTTTTGTTTTTTTTTTTTTGTTTTTGCTTGCTTCTTGTTGTTGTTTTATTACTCCAATGGAAAGTAGTCCTTCAACATTTAGGTGTACTTTTGAGTCAAACGGTTAAAATTGAGGGAGCATTAATGCAAGCTCTGATGCTTATTTGACCCTTGCCAGTTTTGGCCTGCCTCTCGTGTCGTCATCAGCTGATCTCAAAAGTCACAGTACCAGAGGAGGCCTTGGATGTAGCTGCGGTCTCAGCAGATGAGGAATATTGTGCCAGGTAAAGCCATTCCTCTCATTCCTCAGAAATTCTCTGTCCATTATTTTGTGGATCTCGTTGTCTCTTAGTGAGTACTTCTGACAGTGATAGTTTGTATAGAAACTGTGTGTGGCGTATTATTATTTACTTTGTCTTGTTGGGCTTTCGTTGTTGCTGTTGATGAGTACAAGCGTACTTTTATTGTTGTTGTTGTTGTTGTTGTTGTTGTTGTTGCTTTTGTTGTTGTTGTTGTTGTTGTTGTTGTTGCTTTTTTTTTTTTTGCCTTGGTTTGGGGGGGGGGGGTGCTTTTTTATGGTAGGTGTTTTACGGCGCTTGCAACTTCATAAAGTCATATGGGCGCGCGGGACACAAACATTTTCAGTTTCGTAGGAATTCATTGTGCATTTTGCCAGGATGGCGTCCGAAGCCTACCCTTGTCGAATTTGGACCACCAAGGGATCTTTAGCATAAGCAACTTGCATATGGGGTCTCCGAGATTTTAGCCCTTATCCGAAAAGACTAGGTGTTATATCTTACATACCCTAAGATCAGGGGTGTAGCAGTATGTAGGGGCTAAGGAGTAGCAGAAGAAAGGCTGCAGAAGGAGTTAGGAGCCAAAAAGAGAGGTCAAAGGTGGTAAGGGGGTGGGGGCAGAAAGTGGAGACGAAAGCAGACGACAGACCATGGTTAGAGAGCAGAAAAGGAGGTGAAAGGAGAACATTATATAGAAGAACATGGCTCCATCGCTGTCAGGTTTCGAACCCGGGACCTATTGGGCGTATGTGGAAACGAAACTTTTTTCTCAAATTTGATTGCGGATTTTAGGAATATTCTTTACTATGCTTGTTATATGTGTGAAATTTGTTAATATTTGGTCCACAAATAACCGAGATAGCTTTCTGATGTAGCCCCTCCCCCTTAAGATAAAAGGGTTTGTTTTTTCCAATAAAATCAGGACAAATGAGTGCACTTTATGAGCTCTCTTGGCGTAGAGGTTAAGGTGTTCGCCGCTCATTCAAAAGGTCCCGGTTTCGAATCCGGATAGCGACAGAAAATTTTCTTCTTTAAAAATGTCTCCTTTTGCCTCCTTTCAAGCTCTCCAGCAATGTTCTGCCGTCCGCTTTCGTCTCCACTTTCTTCCCCCACCCCTCACCTCCTTTGCCCCCTCCTCTGGGCTCCTGACTCTTTCTGCTCCCTTTCTACTGCCTTTTACTGCCGTCTTTCAGCCACACCCCTGATCTCATGGTAGGTAAGATCTACATCTAATAGTCTTCTCGAACGTTTTAAAGATCCCTTGGTGGTCCAAAATCGATAATAATAGGCTTCAGCAGTCACCCGAGCAAAATTCAAAATTTCCTACCGACTGAAAATGGTTCGTGTGTCCCGCGCGCTCATATGACCTTACGCAGTTGCGAGCAGCGTAAGACACTTACTTTAAAAAACCAAAAAAAAGAAAAAAAAAGAAAAAGAATACGTTTTATTATGGTACCTTAACTGTTCTGCCCCAAAATTGACGAGCGCGTGCTTTCACACTGACGTGACATGGTTATTATGAACTGGAAAACCGCACTAAGGGGACCAGGTGTGAGACTAGGCCTACAACTCCTTAGATTCCTCATTGTCATATATGCGTGCCTCTAGCACTCCTGAGATCAGCTGATAACGTCTGTAAAAACCAGTCGGAGAAACAGATAGGGTCAAATGGAGTGTAGAAGTAGAACCAAGGTTGAGTTATTGTCTGAAGATCCAAATTATGTTTTATAGCTTTTGGTTATACGATTTAAGAAAAGAAGAAAAGCTGACGACGTTCAGGTGAGCTGGTGCTGGGAGGGTGGGTGCTATTGTGTTCAGTTCTATATTTTTCTCTGCCGCGTGTCTGTCAGTCTGTCTGTCTGTCTGTCTGTCTGTCTGTCTGTCTGTCTGTCTGTCTGTCCGTCTGTCTGTCTGTCTGTCTGTCTGTATGTCCCGTTTATTCGGTGGGCTATTCTTTACCACAAACTAAAAACACACACATTTTCTATACAAACTAATACACTTAAAAGTGCATCTGGGGCTCTCTTAGTCTAGAGGTTACGGTGTTCTCCTCTCATTCAATAGGTCCCAGGTTCGAAACCTGAAAGCGACAGATCCATGTTCCTCTATAAAATGTTCTCCTTTCACCTCCTTTTCTGCTCTCTAACCATGGTCTGTCGTCTGCTTTCGTCTCCACTTTCTGCCCCCACCCCCACACAACCTTTGCCCCATCTTTTTGGCTACTGACTCTTTCTGCAGCCTTTCTTCTGCCACTCCTTGGTTCCTACTTACTGCCACTAAACTAATTACTAAACTAATTCGTTTAACAACAAAACATATTTTTAGATCTATTGTTTATTAAAATGCATACAAAATGTTAACAAAATCCAATATGGCCGCCGCTGCTGCTACTACTACTACTACTACTACTACTACTACTACTACTACTACTACTACTACTACACGTGCACTACTTATAAGCCAGAGAACAATCGTCTATAGTTCAATGGTTGGGCTTTTTCCTATCGCACACAGACCACATAAGTGCAATTCTCTAGTGTGGGCATTTCTTTCTTTTTTTTGGGGGGGGGTTGTTGTTTTTTGTTGTTTTAGGGGGAGGGGTGGTTGGGTTGGGGGTTTGGTGGGCTGTTTTGTGGGCTTTTTGTGGGATTTTTAAAAATTTTGATTAAGTAACAACGTCTATCTACTGGGGTGTTGTGCGTCACTCAGCCCAGATTGGTCTTGACATCAGGGTCGAAGAAACCCGCCTCCTAAATCATCCACACGATTGTGACATTTGGGGTGTAAAACCTCTCACAAACTCATTCAATCACAGGTAAAACCTCTCACAAACTCATTCAATCACAGGTAAAACCTCTCATAAACTCATTCAATCACAGGTAAAACCTCTCACAAACTCATTCAATCACAGGTAAAACCTCTCACAAACTCATTCAATCACAGGTAAAAGCTCTCACAAACTCATTCAACCACAGGTAAAAGCTCTCACAAACTCATTCAATCACAGGTAAAAGCTCTCACTAACTCATTCAATCACAAGTAAAAACTCTCACAAACTCATTCAATCACAGGTAAAACCTCTCACAAACTCATTCAATCACAGGTAAAAACTCTCACAAACTCATTCAATCACAGGTAAAAATTCTCACAAACTCATTCAATCACAGGTAAAAATTCTCACAAACTCATTCAATCACAGGTAAAAATTCTCACAAACTCATTCAATCACAGGTAAACATTCTCACAAACTCATTCAATCACAGGTAAAAATTCTCACAAACTCATTCAATCACAGGTCAAAGCTCTCACAAACTCATTCAATCACAGGTAAAAATTCTCACAAACTCATTCAATCACAGAAATACCAAATCCAAGACGGACCCCCCAAAGACCACCCTATATTATCCCTGATTCGCTGACGTAACAACGACGTCATGGCTGTGAGTAGCCTGGCGGAGGTTTTGAACCAGGCGGGAAACGAGGGTCGGTTCCAGGTCCTGTCGTTGCTGGCGATCACTCTACCCCGTGTGCCAATCCACTGGAGTCTGACCATGATGTCTTACGGCGGCTATACGCCAGACTGGTGTTGTGTGCCGAGCCATTTGAATGTTAATGATGAAGTGAGTTGTCGGTTTTGGTTCGTTTAAGTTGATTTGATTGTTGGGGGAGAGCTTTTGTTAGTTTTTGGTTTCTTCTTTGGTTTGTTTGTTTGTTTGTTTGTTTGTCTCTTTGTTTATATATTTGTTTGTTGTTTCGTATGTGTGTTTGTTTATTTATTTGTTTGTTTGTTTGTCTCTTTGTTTATATATTTGTTTGTTTTTTCGTATGTGTGTTTGTTTATTTGTTTGTTTGTTTGTTTGTCTCTGTGTTCATATATTTGTTTGTTTGCTTGTTTGTTTGTTGGTGTGTTTATTTGTTTGTTTGTTTGTTTGTCTCTGTGTTCATATATTTGTTTGTATGCTTGTTTGTTTGTTGGTGTGTTTATTTGTTTGTTTGTTTGTTTGTCTCTGTGTTCATATATTTGTTTGTATGCTTGTTTGTTTGTTGGTGTGTTTATTTGTTTGTTTGTTTTGTTCAATTACAACATTTTTAAATCCCGTTGTACGGGGTGTGTCCTTGGAGTTAACGACATTATTCGATGATGCTGTTTGTTTGTTTGTTTGTTTGTTTGTTTTCATGTTTTTGTTTGTTTGCTTGTCTGTTTGATGTGTTGTAGAAGATATAATAATATGTTGTGTGTGCACTGCATTCCTGACCAGCAAAACGTGAATGGAATTAATTGTTCATAGTGGAATGTGGAATGTTGGCTGTTGATAACTTTTGCTTGTTTGTTTGGTTCGAGTTTTAGGGGGGGGAAAAAGAGGAAAGAAAACTTGTGCGATGCACATAAACAAGGATGCTTTATCATGACAAGCATATAAAAATCAATTTTGTGTATTACTATTACTAACTTGAACAATAGTAAATTCATTGTTGACCGCCATTGTTCAGCTCCTTGTGTTAGTTCTATGGTGTTGGCGTGTCTCAGTCACCGAAGTCTCTGGTGAAGGGCTTAGGGCTTTTAAATAATAATAAATTGCATTTATATAGCGCAATTCCACAAATATGGCCTGATATCAATTCTCGTGTAGATAATATTAATTTTATCTAAAATCTCGGTCGTGGTGCTTAGACGTGTCCCTCCCTCTCAGCCCTTTTCCACCTTTACAGATAGGGTCGAATCCACCTCTATTCGATCTAAATTACGTTGGTTGGTGGGAGCGAAAAATTACATTCGAACCTGCTCTAACGGCCACCTGTATAAGACAATCACTTGTACAAACGGCCACTCCCCTTTTCCTCCTTGTGTGTGTGAGCGGGGGGGGGAGAGAGAGAGAGAGAGAGAGAGAGAGAGAGAGAGAGAGAGAGAGGGGGGGGGGGGGGGGGTTCACTTTATGATTATGATAAGACTGTATAAGACTGTCACCAGTCTAAGACATTCGCTTTTCTTCTCAGCAATGGGTGGTCGTCTTATACAATTTCGATTTACCTACGTTTAAAAGTGTCTTATGCAAGCATATACCTCAGTGACCACCCGCTTATCTGTTTGTTATATCGTTGACAATGATTGATATCATTATTTTTTAGGTGCTATTATTTTCATTGTTTGTTGTTTTGTTTTGTTTTGGGGGGGGGTTCCTTTTCAGTGAGTGGTTGGTGGGTGCTCTGGTGTAGTTTGCTCCTTCTTTCCTGTCAAACATATATCGTCTTGATCTCTCCTCCTTCTTTTTTATGTTTGTTACTCTCTTGTATCACCTCTAATCTTCGACAATTATATGACCATATTGTGTAGCACGTGCCGTAAAACTCTTACTAAAACTAAAAAACTAAAACTTCCTTTTCAGTGTGGGGTCGTCGTCGCGAACGCTTACCAGGGGCCTGGTACATCTAACTACAGCACAGCTCCATCTGTCCCCTCCCTCCTCTCACAGTGCCTTAACGACAGTACGTGTCCGCGGAAACAGTTTGTGAGTGAGGACGACGCCTCTACTGTCGTCACTGAGGTGAGAGGTTGGGGTGGAGGATCTGGGAGCGGGGTTAGTAGAGAGAGAGGGGAGGTTGGATGGAAAAAAAGGGTGGTAGTGGAAGCGGGAGAGAGATGAGCAAGAAAAAGGGAGAGATAGAAAGAGAAAGCAAGAGGGAGAGATGGAGAGAGAGAGAGAGAGAGAGAGACAGACAGACAGACAGACAGACAGACAGACAGATAGACAGACAGACAGACAGACAGACAGACAGACAGACAGACAGACAGACAGACAGACAGGGTGTGGTAGCCTATCCGTTCGAAATGTTTGGAGCCCCGACGAGCATGCTCTTCGCCAGGGCCACCGCCTCTCTTGGGTAGCGGGTGATGCCGTCCAACCTCCCTGAATCCTCCCCAAAGAGATGTCACAG